TGGGAGCCTGCGCTTGGCAGGTCCCGCAGAGACCGAGGACCCGTCGGAGAGCTCGAGGCACGTGTGGACAGACGTGCCGGCCGCTCACCGGGGCTGTCCAGGCCCGCTCGGCGGCACTTTGTGATGCGATGTCATCTGTCTAAAGAAGGCCTGTTTTCCCCTTTCCTTGACTTTCACACCGTGAAAGCTTCCTGACGGACAGACTTGGAATGTCGGGGTGAGGAGGGCCGCTGGAGCGGGGGGCACAGGTGCCTGCGTGGCACGGAGGGGCTGGGCGTGAAGGCAGGGAGGCCGGTGGGCGGGTTTCTCTGGCTCCGGCGTCACCCCGCACCCGCTCTGGCTTCACGTGCACGGCGTCCCGCCGTCCCCCGGGGCGTAAGGAACCCGGCGTTGTTACCCCACGGTCCAGAGCAGAAGACCGCGGCGGGCAGCTGGGCCTCGCCCGAGCACGCGGCTGGAGTGGGCGGCCTCGGTCCAGCCTTTCCTGGGCAGCAGCAGTGAGGGCGGCGTGAGGGACTGGCCCCCAGCCCACGCTCAGCGTCCACGTCCTCAGCCCGCCTGCTCCCTGAGCTGTCCCCAGCCTGGTGCCCTCACTGTGCCATGGGCCCCGGCACCACCCCCACCATCCGAGCCAGCCCCGCAGAGTCGGCCCCACAGGCCGTGTCCACCTCTGGGAATGAGGAGGGCAGAGTGGTGGTCACGGAAGTGGGGGCGTCTGAGGCCGTGGGGTCAGGGAAGGCGTCACATGGAGGCCGAGCAGAGGGCAGTGAGGACAGACAGACCCTGGCCCCGCACAGAGCAGCCTGGACGCGGTGTGGGCCCCTCGCAGCTTCCTGCTGGTAAAGGGTGCTTGGCGAGATGTGCATGGGATGGGGGGCGGGGGGGCCTCAGCAGCGAGATCTCTACAAGGGCCGGGGCACGGGGAGCCAGGCATCGGGGCGGCCGCCGGGGCTCGGGGCAGACGGCGCCCTGGGGGCCCTCTAACTGGCGTACTCGCGGGGAGGCGTCTGCGTCTCTAGAATTAGACAGGACCCCTGACTGGCAGTGCCTGCGAAGGGGTAGTTGGCGATCTGGATGTGCGTCGCCGTGGCGAAGGCTGGGGGTCGGGTGGGGGCCTGTGCCTGGCACGGGGCGCGGCCGGTGTTGAAGGAAGGAATGAGTGAGTGCGTGAATGAATGAATGCGTG